TTTTTCTTTGCTTAGATCGTTCCAAAGTTCAGACTTTAGGCAGCACCCTTTAACATTTCTTCAGACACTGTTTAGTTTTGATCATTACTTCTTCACTTAACCACTTTTTAATTTCTAATGACTTGTTTCTTCACAGCCTATCAGTTGATAAAACTGAGAATGAAAGGCTCTTGCAGCAAACTGATCTCAACAGAATCCCATTTGACGACTGGTGAAGTGTTAGAAGGCACCATGAGTCAATCGGAGGAGCCAGAGGCCAGTCTGGGACTGCACAGTCCTGATCCACTGGTAAGAGAGGCTTTTCTGATGGCTTACGACTACATAGACTATGTAACTAAAGAGAGGGCWGATGGAATTATGGGTCCTGCCCCTACAGCCTGCACTGCAGCTCTGCGCCATGCTGGAGATGAACTTCTCACTCGCTTCCCCATTTTCTTCAGGCGCTGGCCTGAGATCTTCCAGGATGTGACAGMGCACACAGCATGCCCCATGCTCATTAGCATCCTGGGTGAGCACCCACCCCCCATCCCCAAAGGGTGACAAAGGGACTTATCTTGGAGCACTGTGCTGTCCGTCTATGTTCTGGCTGGCCAGATGGCTTTGCACTGCAATGAGGGGCATGGTGGCAGGCCTCCCTCAGCTCAAAGAGTGTAGGAATCTATGTGGAGAGGGTCWTTTGTCCCCATATAAAAGATAAAGGAGGATGGGTAAGTCCACATTTCATAGACTGGACTGATGAGAGGCCACGGTGTTCTTTGAAGAAATGCACGTTGCCACCTAGTTAGTTTTAAACCAAGAGTTTATTAGACAGAAATGTTTTGTCAAACCTTTTAACAAACTTTTGTGCAATTTCACAAAATGAGAATTTAAAAAKGACTCTCAGCTACTACCACACAAAAAATCCATTGTTTTTATTTAGCTGTAAAACTGAGTATGTATATAGTCATTTTTAATTTTGCTAACATCAACATTTTTAAATATGGATTCAGTTTGAATGTTAGTGACTTGTACAACCAATTATGTTTTTAAAGTTTCATTAGTTTTTCTCAGTCGCTTTGCTACMTTTCTTGGATCTGCATTCAAATTCTCAAAGCTACTTGTTCAATCTTCACATCATTGTGCCACTTGTGCACACCAAAAAAGCAGTTTATTTCTTTGAAGTAGTTGCAAATGTTTTGGTACGTCCAAGCAAATAATAATGAACAATTCTCTGCTGTTTTCTACATTATAAGTTGTTGTGTTGATCAAAATTCATTATCTGTCAGTTTGTTAATCTCACCCCAACAACGTTAGGCGTTAGTTCATCACTTCAGTGTTCACATGCAAAGTGGTTCAGCAAGTTCTCATATTATGTCACATTTCTACACTTGCATTAGACCTTAGTTCTAAATCTCTCCTGAATGTATTAATTGTTCCCAGGTGAATACAACACATACCGTCCTGTCATGGTTTTAGACCCTCTCTGCAGGGATCTCATCCCTGAACGAGAGAGGGGGTCAGACTGGAGATGATTTGCCAAAGTACATGATAGTTTGGGACAATCGTGTCATCATCAGGCAATGGTTTGTGACCCACAACAGGATGCTGAGGGAGGCTGGCTCACCCCACTCCCCATTCCTTAACCCCATTGAGGAGTTTTTTTCTCAGCATGGGGATAGAGAGTACACGATTTCCAGCCACACACATGGATGAGCCTTCTGGCTGCCACGGACACATYGTGTGGTGACATCACACAACATCCCTGCAGAGACTGGATAATATACTCTAAAATGCATGATCTGTCAACAAATTAGAGTACAAACAAATCTTCAATGTGATTCTTGTTCATTCTCTGGTAATCAATTTCCCACAATTGTAATACACAATAATCTTCATTTAAAAAAAATAGCCTTAGTTTACATCAGAACACCCTCCAGAGCACTGTTACATCAACAACATGACTCTTATCTAAATGACGCTGACATTTTTATTGACACAGACAAACAAAGGATTTTGAACAAGACTAGCTTTTGCAGTTACCTTGCTATTTTTTCAAACTGTTTTGAGAAATGCAGTTATTGTTTTGCAAGGATTTGATGATTTGAGAAATGTACCAAAGCGACTGAGAAAAACTACAGATCTCTCCAGTGTATTATGAATTCTTAGCAAACACACAGACCAGGTTCAAGTCAGCAGTTAATGCAAAAGTTTTAAACAAAAGCATTGTGTGAGGTGTAGCCTATTAGCTCCATTTGCAGGGATGCTGACATTTTTTTCTTCAAATGTTTCATGTAAAATGTTACCTTGTACCKATTTAAAAAGTGAAGTTCCCATGTGTCCACAGCACATCATATCACACATGATATTGTCAACGGTATCCACAAGTTTGCTGCAATATTAACTAAATCCCTTTAATCTATAGACTTAGATAACCCTAGACTGAGCCCCGCCCATTCCGTCCACTGTTAGTGTCTGTGACAGCATGTAGGATCAAAAACTGTGACCTAACAGGGCATCGGCTCAGTCATAGCAATTATTAGTCTAACTGGATCTGTTTCACAAATTCTGTCATATTTTACAATAAATTAATAATTCTGTTATTTTTATTCAACAATTATGTAAAACAGCAGATATATATATA